GACTTTAAAGTAGTAAATATTTATATAGTCTTCCGATAATAAACAAAAAATTAAATAAAAACTAATTGTAACTATATATATATAAATAGTTACAATTAGTATTTATTTTTAAACTGAACAGAAAAAACGGTTCAACGTTAAATCGTAATACCGTTACTCAGTATCATAATATTGAGCTGATTTGCTGAGACCTTAATAAAATGTTAGATTGAAACGTGTTTCCATTTAAGTTGAACGATAGCATTGTGCTTAATCAAGATATTACTGGATTATTTTGCACAATAATATGGTCCAATTTTGTGAAATAATTTCAAAGTAGAAAATTTGAACGGTATCATTTAATACGTTCCAATATTTCTAAAATTGTTTAAAGTTATTTCTTGAGGTATTTAAAGCGAGTTTTGAAGAAGAAAAAAATTGTGATTTTTGAAGATCATGTCTTTAGGGAAATCTTTTATTCTGTTTTGTATAAAGTTAAATTGCGTTTTAGATTTCTACATTATGGGGGAAACAACACAACAAAAACAGATGAAAAATAAAATAATAATATCGTATATTTTAAAGTTTGGTTCTTATAAGATTTATTTAAATTTTCAAAAATAAAAATAAAAGTTGGTAATCTAAACACTTTTCACAGTAATATCCAGCATAATTTACACGAACGTACCGGAAATTTTGTCACTATCGAAGAAAATTTTACTCATTATTAAAAAAAAGTGACTTAGAGGGGGCGAAATCTCATAATCTACCTCACCGTCAATTTTAGAAAATTTGTATAAAAGAATAGTAACTAGTTCTATATCTTCAAAAAAAAGTTTTATAAAAATTTTAACGCAATGATTCTCGAACAAATTTTATTAAAAAAATTATCCAAATTAGGCGGCAATGGAAAAAATTTAAACTAGTTATAGGAGTAAATTAATTGCGCAGAAAAAGTTATTTAATGGAAATTTTTAGTTCGTAGATTTAGTTCGTAGTAATATCATAGTGCTAACATAATGAAATAAAAATAATTACAATAACTGCTTGTTTTTTAAAATTTTTATTTGTTTTCGTTTTGAAATCGCTAAGTCCGATTTTCCCTCGAGTTTTATGAATTTATGCTTCATACTGATTTACCAATTTCTAAGTGTGCCAGCTGTTTTGAAGATTTTGCACTAGTTTAAGTAGAATATTTTCTATTATCAGAAATACTTCATCAAACTATCATCGCGCACTCTAAAATAAATCAGTTTAACATTGAACCATAATATTGGTATCGCGAACCCATTATACGGCACAAGTTTGCTTCAACCATAATATGGTGTAAACAAATTTAAGAGACAGGATAATATGGTACAAATTAACACCATGTTAAGGTTGTACCAGATTTTAACAATAGCATAATTTTACTGTTTAAACTGTTCTGCTTTAACACATTCAAATTATTTTAACATTGTAATATGATATGGTTCACGATAATATGGTTCAATTTAGTACCATATAAAGGTTACAAACAATGGTTTAATGTGAAAAAAAAACTTCTGCCAGTGTTGTTTAACGATTGTTTTTATATGTAGTATGACGATTGGTAAGAAAATATGGATCAATTTGTCATCATATTATAAGGTAGCATCAGATTAAACGATATATAGTTACTAGATACTGTTAGAATTTTCATTCTGAAATTACGATAAAATCACGGTTTGGAAACCGTTTTCAACTGATACAGTTAAAAAAAAAACTGAAAACAAGACTATACGGTTTTGTAACCATTTACCACTAGCATAGTCTCCTAAACCGTAAAAATGAAATTTAAAAGGACATAGGTATTGGTGCAGCGCCATTTGCGCGTGAATGATAGTTTCGTATTCTAATAGTCTAGGATCCCCAATTGATAAGTGCAGGACACAATAAACCTTTAATGTATTTAAGAAATGGACGAAATATTGTGGTATAAAAGCTGGGATTCAAATCCTTAGTCAGCAGGTCATGAGATTGATCGATTAGCCCTCTCAGCTATAGTATGTACCCAGCTGCAGGGAACAAAATGGCATCATAAAGTGAGCCAAATTGGTGTAGATAGATTGTTAAACAGTATTAGGTAACAACAATCAATTAAAGTCTTTTCTCACACTTAACTGTTTAAATATCATCTTTTTTACGGTTAGTTGGCTGTTTTGGTTGAATATGGTAAAATAACAATTATATAAATTGCTATTTAGCCATTTTTATCGAGAAATTTCTAACAGTGTATGAAGCTTAATAGCATATTTTCTTACGCGAACTTCGCAAGTATCCAAATAATAATAATTTTTTGATGCATACAAGGGCATATACAAGTATCATTACTGTTAAAAGTCATAAAAAATTACTTTAACCCTGCTAAATCAGTTTAGAATCTATATCAAGTATTACATAAAAGTAATTCAGTTTTAAGATAAAGATAAATCCAACATATTTACTTTAAAGAAATTTATTGGTTTTAGGAAGCATGTAGTAGTAGTAGATGTAACGTACTTCCGATTTGAGTATAAACAAATTGTTGTCTTTTGAAAGCCATTCAATAAGATGGGATAGAATTTTTTTTTATCAACAGAGCCACTTTAAAAATTACGCAATTATTGTTTCCTTTTCTTTCTGACGCAGAGAAAGCTCTATGTTTTCGAGATAAAAAAGAGCAAGTACATGCCCTCAAGAGATATCAGTCTAGATTTAGATATTTCATCAGAAAACACAATTAAAGCTAAATAAAGAGCGTTAAATATTAAAAATAATTTTTATTGTTACTTTTAACACCAGCTGCCTTTAGAAAGTATCCACGGATATTGCTATATACTTAACTAAACTATTTCATTTTGAAACGTGAACTGAGAAATAAAATATGGTCTAATCTACCAGAATAGGACAAAATTTACAATGTGGCTGGTTCTATAGGAACACCAAAAAGCTGGGTAATATTTACCGAAGCTCTTTGGTAATGATTTTGGTGAAATTAACTAAAATATGGTTTTATAATATGCAATAAAATTTGGTAAATATGGTAAAATTTGGTAATTTTATCATGATACTTTAGAACATGTCATAAAAACCATTTATTCGGTTAAATTTTCTTTCCAGTTTGAACTAAATATGTGGCATTAAGAATAATAATTTTGAAAAACAGTATTTCCTGTAAACCGTTAACACATGAACAGAAAAATTACCAAGTGAATGGTTTAAATACCGTATATTTAAGTTTTATTCACCAGAAATTTCATTACCATACAGAAAGGTAATTTTATCAGAATTTTTTCTTTGTGAACCTTTAAAAGCTTTAAATCCGAACCAGATCGATTAGAAAATTTATACGTGAGCTAGGACTAATGTTCACAAACGTATAAAATAAAAATTTGTTAAGAGAAAGGATTATTGAGATCAATTATTTACATGCATAATGATGTATGTTTCACACTAAATAATTTTCACATTTATTTCTGAATTAAACGAATTTTAGCTTACTCATTGCGTTAGAAGAAATGGATCCTTTAGAATGAACCAGAAGACCTCTTTCAGCTAATGGGCTCAAGCCCGGGATTGGATTCGTGCTTTCGGACTGAGCCCGTTTCATCTCGATTATATTTGAATTGTTTAATGTCTAATGTTAGATCGCTAATGTAGGAAAGTCGGAGGGATTTCAATCGCTTAATCACTAATGTTAGAAAAACTTAAGTCTAAAATCTCGAAAAAAATCTCATATAGATAATTTATATGAAGATTTTTAAAAAAATCGACCATTCTAGCACAAAACCATGTTATATGCATAAGAAGTATGTATTCAAGTTTTGTTACTGTCATTAACGACATGGGGCTAATAGTCTAAACAATATTTGTAGCAATTTCGAACACTTTGTGCAAATTTTCCTTTTTCACTAAGTAACTCATTTAAGGCAATTCATTCTACGACGAAAGCAAAGCATACTGATTTGTTGCTTTTTTACGAATTTTAATAAAAGTAAATCAGATTTTGAGCTCAGATTACGAATATTTTGAGAAAGGCGTATTTCATTCAATTATAATTTAAGAAACACTAATTTTGAATTAAAATTGAGAACTTTAATTCCAATAAAGCAATTTTTGAGAAAAGAAACTGCAACATTCTAACATTTTCTATTTTATATATTTTAAAGACTTTTTTTTTTTTTTAATTCTAACAATCAGCTTTATTTTATGTAATTAGTTTCGTTCAAATTCCACACTAATGTTTTACCGAATAAACTTTCTTTTAATTACAGCATTATTTTAATAACGAAACGAAAATAAAATTAATTTTCAATATAAAATAAAATTTTTATTTTAAAATGAAATAACAAATTTTATTTCATACTGAAAAATACAATACTCTATTGTTTTTGAAAACATGTAATTAAAATAGAAAAAATTTAAGTTATAAACTGTTAAAATTAAAATATTAAAATTTCCGAAAAAAAAAAAACATGGAATGTAAAATAAATATTTATTTTTTTTATTTATTTCCAAATGCTGTACTGTTTCTTTTACTAAAAATTTCAAAAATCTTTCTTTAAAAATTAATTTTTAATATTGTACGAAATTTTACAATGTAACAAACATTCCCAAAATAAAAAACAGTTTGAAAATTATTTAAATTCGAACTTTTGAAAAGTTATGAAAATTTGGTTTTTATAAAAATTAATTTGTTAAAACATTACATGACAAAATTGCGTATTAAAGAAATAAAATAGGACTAGGGAAGTTAAAATATAAGACTATTTCAATAGTTATTAAAACAAATTTTGATTCATTAGGTAATTGTTATTAAACTTATTTTAAATGCAATAGTATTATAATATATTTCATAAAGAAAATGAATAGCTGTAATATATTTACAAAAATTCTAAAAAGATATTTTCTGGTGAATATATGCATAAACCCTCTGTCCAACGAATCAAAAACCAGAAGCTTAACTGAATGAATACAGGCATTATAAGCAAAAAATCATATTTATTAAATAAACAAATGTCTTTATTATGTAAGGTTTTTTAATAACTTTTTAAAACTTGGTGTACAGATTTAGAAAGATTGTTACAAAACAGATCCGTGAGAAACAGCCTGGTGCTGCATTCTCCATTTTAAAAATAAAGCAAGTGATAACAAAATGATATGCCTAATCTAATCAGCTTTACAGTTCTAAAATATTGTATGACAATTCATTCTCTAATAATATCACCATAAATTTTCAAATGCCTTGTTGTCGTCGCATTTTACCTTTTAGATAAATTTAGTTCCTGGTGGCAACAAATCAAGTCACGTAAAAAACGCAGTAGAAACATAGTGAATCTAAAAATGCAGAAATATAATAAATCTAAAAAAAGTGGTAACAAAGAATTTAAAAATGTAGGAACATAATGAATCTGAAGAAATAGAAACAATGAATAAAAAAAAAGGTAGTAACATGAAGAAAAAAACCTAGAAACATAATGAATATAAAGTAGGAACATAATGAGTCTAAAAATGTAGAAGCGAAATGAATCTTATGAAGTAAAAACATAGTGAATCTAAAAATGCTGTAACATAATAAGGCTAAAAGTAACATAAAGAATCTAAAAATGTAGAAACATAACTGAAAATACAAAACTGAAAAGTAAATATAACCGAATAAATGGTTTTTACTACGCTGTAAGGTATCATGATAAAATTACCAAATTTTATCACACATTATAAAACCATATTTTATTGTTAATTTCATCAAAATCATTACCAAGGTGCTTTGATAAAAACTACAGTCCTTGGCGTCCTCTCCTGAGAACATGGTAAATTATAACATATTCTGGTAGTTTTGACCATATCTTTTTTCTCAGTGTGGAATTACTATATAGACAAATTTGAGTGATACTTGAATAATATTTAAAAGTTATAATTACGATTGGTTGTAATAATCTGTTTTAAACGATATTACTTGAGTAAGTAAAATATATAATCAGTTTTTATTTCTGAAACTTAATTGTTTCCAATAACTAACTTTGAATTATTTTCACTTATTTATTAATCGAATGGAGCGAAATCTAAACATAGTATAAAAAGTAATAAATTTATCAGCAGAAAATATTATAGAAAGTAGTTTTTTTAATAGTATATTACTGCTATACATCAATTCAAGAAGAAAATAAAGATTTTGATGATATTGAGGAAACAAACAGTTAAAATGCAATACAAAACAAATGTTTAAAATACATAATTTGTTTTTGTTTCTTTATTTATGTTTCGATACTTGTCAAAAAATTATAAATATTGTAACAAACTTCGATAAATCTAATAGGAAGCAGCATAGAAAAAATTTCAGTTTTCATTAATTTATTATTGTGATGATTCTTTAACTTCAAACGATAATTCTAGAATAAAAAAATTTGCTATTGCTGCCAATTACATGCTGAAATATACAAATAGAATTTGACTTCATTTTCGAACCTTAATTACTTCCAACAATTAACCTTGAATTATTTTCTACTATTTAGCAATCGAAATACAAACAATGTAAACATCAATAGATCAACCCCAAAACTAAAAATTTTTTAAAGAAAAACTCATGAACTATTGTTTTGAAGAATTATAACAATAACAAATTAAGGAAAACTGAATTTATTTTATGCTGTTTTCAGTTAGATTTATTGAGGTTCATCAGGAAAAAAGATTAAGTTTTATTAATATGATATTTTATAAAATAAATAAAATTTTTGAAGATATTTTTTAATTACAATGCATAGAAATAAATGGGGGGGGGGAATTCCATGCCAGAACCAGTTAGTTTCCTACGTTTTTATAATAAAATGATATATAACAGTATCAGCTTCAAAAATTTAGCATCCATTCTTGACTCTTACTAAATGAAGTTGGAGGTTTAAAAACAACATTTTTTAAACAATTTTGGTTTAAAAAGTCTACATAAATACATACATGTTTAAGTAATCGCGTGCAAGTACACATGAACTCAAATATTATCTTTTTTTAGAAACATAATTCGAGTAACAAATAAGTTACTGATAATTTTCCTTTTAAAACTATGCAACTTTTTTAACTCGAAGATAATTTCCTCTAATTCAAAACAATACGTAAGAGGAAAAATTATCATCGCTAAAAATTGCTACAATCGCTAAAACTCTGTCATACAGTTAACTTTAAAAGAGGTTTGGATAAATTAATGTGCTATCGCTACGGCCAATGAAATATAGAAATCACTGTTTAGCCTTTAAAGCAAGGACATTTTGCACAAACAATCTTTATATTTGTTTTAATTGGTTACATCTAACAGCCAATGAATATGTACTTTAACTATTACTATATAATACATCCTATGAAAATAAATAAATGTACACATAACGTAATAAAATAGTAGTTTTGTATTCTAACACGTTTAAAAGAAGGCAGTAATATATTATATAAAAGGATTTAAATATAATTTTTAAATAAGCCTTTAAAATTTTTTTTTTAACTTTCTGAGCATTTCTCGATATTAAAAAAAATTCTTAAAATACAAAAGATTTTAGAGTAACAGTTAAAACTCTGTCTAGTTATTCAGGTAACAAAAATGTGTTTATCTTCACTATAATTTTTTCAACTATAATACAATCAAATGAAAAATATTTGAAATCATTAGTTTTAAAATAAATTCATGTGCAGAAAATGTTAACAACACATTTTTATGATTTATACAGAATTAACACAAAATTTATTAAACTTAATTATCAAAAGAGTAAATAAGATTTAAAATACCGGACAACAAAAAACCATCTCATAAATTTTACAAAACAAAACTACTTTTGTTGTTCGAAATAATATTATCTCTAAAACATAAATGTCCTGTTTTTCGAAACCAGTTAAATACCAATAAAGGAATTGCGTGCTTCCTCATCGACAAAGAATGTCTTTCGCAGAAAAATCTGAGCAGAACAGAAAAAAAAAAAATCATAATTATTTGTCTGATACAGTTAACAGTTAAGCTGAATTCCTTTTATTTCGGAGAAAAACCGTGAGTCATTAATCACCAGGGTAAGAACGATTCCTTTGGAAAGGGGGTTTTCCCCATACCTGCAACCCAGCTGAGTTTTTGCGGATTGCGTCATCCAAATGGGGGTGGAGGACTGACTGAGTGATCTGTCACAACACGGCCTAGATGCCCATTCCGATCGATCGAATCCAGATTTCCTGGCAACATGGATTTTAGCCAAGGTTGATGGGAGTGTGAGGAATTTCAAGGTCAAACGATACTGGCAATTAGGTATATTTACTAGAATTCTAATCACATGTACTCCAGATATTTAACCAGAATTATGCCAATAAAATTATAAATGAGAAACAAAAACAATTAATTGTTTTGAGGTAACTGACCCTTAGTCAACAACAAAAACCTACATACGTTTAATTAAAGTTTAAACTTTATTATCTCAAAAATGTCTTTGTTACAATTATTTATCCGATTTCTTGGGAAGTAATGTTAATATATAGAATTACACATATTTTGCAAGATTGTTTTTATCATCGAACTCATGTAAAATAATTTAACCGTGTATCACTTATTTTATTTTACAAAATTGCTTCACGCTAATTTAGGAGAAATAGCATTTAATAATTATTTTTCAATTGATTACACATTCTATAAAAATAATAAACACATGAATTTAGAACTCCAGCAAGGTTGGATTTCCTTTAATTGGCGCCTTGTTCAAAGAATTTATTTCATGTATATAACTGAAGATTTAACACAGTATTTTATTATTTTTAAGGCTTGTTTTAACATTTTTATCTCAATTAAGATAACGAATGACTTCATGGTATTAAAATATATAGGCGAGGTTAGTTAAAGCTTATTTTTTTCCTTTTTGATTTATTGAACCAAATAAAGCTATTTTTGCATCTAAGCAACACATATCTTTACAAATATTATAGGAGAGTAATTGTCTGTAAATTTTATGATGATTAATTATTATATTCGTAAGACTACATTATCTTATATATTATTATTATATAAGTAGTTAATAATCTATGACTAAGACTTCCGATTAAAAAATAAGAGACTATATCCCTTTTAAAAAAAAAAATCTAAATTAAATACATGATACCATTAACTTCATTAGATTAGAAGTTTTTATTTATGTAAAAAAAATTATCAGAAATATTACTCAGAAATATTATTAAATAATGTGTTCAGTATATCTATAATATTAAATAATTAGTGTAAATATTAAATAACGTGTACAACAATTAGCATACATAATAAATAAATAATATAAGTTTATTTTAAAGTATTGAAAATGAAAATTAGTCCTTTTTGTTTTTGTCAAAAATCATAAACAAATGCGGATAATTTGTCTAATATCAAGACGTCTAACAAAAATAATTAAAAATTATCGAATTTCTTCAATGATAATTAAGAACGTAATGAATTTGTTAAAGATACTTTTTCAACATAACAACATAAAGTTTAATCCGTTAAATAAAAAATAAAACTTGGAAAAAAGACCGATGTACTAAGATACATCTAGTATTTTACGAATATTAATGTACTATGAGAAAAGAATACCTGTAGCTAAGTGCTTAAAGGTATTTTTGTAATTTTTTATTTTTACCTATGAATTAAAACTCACATTTACTTTAAAAGACCTATTTGAATTTTAAAGAAAAATGTTATTTATAATCGGAAACTAATCTAATTATTGAAAATTATATGCTTTCATTTTTAAAAAACACCTTTTATGCATTCAAAATTGAGTATGATATTATCAAAAATTAAAAATTTATTAATCGATGTCTACAGTTTGTGAATTTTACTGTTACGCATAACCAATGATGTAAACAATACGAAAAACATTTAAAGTGTTATGTTTATAAGCAGTTATTTGAACATTCATGTTCAACGTTCGTAAACAGTACTATTTTATAAAAATGTGATATTTAATGAAAGCGTTTAAAATAATATATATTTTTATAACTATGATTATTATAAATTACATATACATTAATTTAAACAATACCTAATGAAAAAACTAGGTAAAGTAAGTATTCGACGACGAATCGCAAAATATTCTATAAATATATCTATAATTATTCAAAAACTACAGTTTTTGTAAATATATAAGAAATCAGCATCATGAGAAGCATGTTATTTAAGACAAGACTGTGTAGAGGTTTTGCTCATTCCGTCGGCAATCCCACCGGGGATGAAATGTAGCGGTACCCACCGCGCATTAGGCATCTAACACCACGGTCACTAGTGGCAGGGTGTTCGGCCTTGAAGAGCCTATCTAATAGTCTCAGCCAGTTCACGTTTGCATTTCTTCCTCTTACCTACCTGCGCAGTAGAGCGTTTTTACGCAAATCGCAAACTGCACATATGTAAATAAAAGATACAAAATTTTATTTAAAAACAAACACTTACCAATAGGCTCTCGCCATTCGGGTCCCATCTTAAAGGCAGACATTTTGCGTTCTAAATTAATAAGTTCTACATCTAAAGCACTTTTAGGAATGTAAGAATGTCAAGAAAAAAATACGTTTTCACAAATCTTTGTTATCCTGGGTAGTAAACATGAGTGCCGCAGCGGCGGACACCTCTTTTCATTCTGCGTAGGAACATTCAAGGAATATACACTGCACTACACGGCGCTCCGTTCTCTCGACGTTTGTAATCGTCTGCAGCCAAGCGATTTTTTTTTACCTCCGTTGTACACGAAAACGTCTCACGTGTTGAGTCGGCTACTTCCTAAGCACAAAACAGGGTTGCAAACAGAAACATTTTGGCATCAATAGATTGCGCCTGTTGGCGATAATTTCTAGGAATCTCAACACGGTTTTTATTATTAAAGAGGATAAAGAATGATTAAGAGAGAAGGGGATGTTTGAGGGAGTGGTTGTTGGAAAAACTCCTCATTTATACTTATCATCATTTTTTTACTTTTCGAAACTATCCTTTCGTAGATAGAAATTATTTTCGAAAATGAAGTATCGAAATATGATAGAATTTTTAAGAAGTAATTTAATGACATTTATAAAGTAATTATAAAACGGAAGATGCTTGTATATAATTAATAAATGTTATGCATAAAATACATAATTATTCCAAGATGTTTATACAACTAACAATATCTTGAATTTTAAGGAAACAACGTCATAGACATTTCTAAAGAGTAAAAATAAATATATCAATATTTTATAGATAATACTATTATTTTAGAATAGGTAATTCTATTACTTTGTCATTTTAGGATCAGATAAAAATTTATACTTCCGCTCTTAGCTATTAAGTACTTCTTCATTTTAACATTAAAGCAAATGTATTTTAATATACTATATGTACTACTCGAGCTAATGTACTACTTGATCTTACATTTTTACACTCAGCTTACCTTTTTCTTTTCATCATACTCTTAACCTTATATTGTAACACTTCTTTGAAACAACATTAAAAACTTATGGTCAATTTAAACGTAACTATATATTTCAGCACTCACTTAAATACTTTTACATTTTTATACTTAGGTAACTATTTTTTTCTTCTTCATTTTAACATTCAGCTACAAAATATTGAATTATATTCTTAAACGTAAATTTAAGCACTCTTTCAAGTTTTCTTTCATTAATAAAAGACTTAAAATAAGCTATCAGTAAAAAAAATTTGCGATCAATAGTAAGATTGACAACATTCGAAGAACAACTAAACAAAATAACTCCCCACTATTCCATGCAAAAAATGGAACTTAAAAATAAAAACAAAAGTTTTATTTAAAACTTATTTTCTTAAGGACTTATAGGTGTCTTATTACAATTGAATCATTTATTATTTTTTTAAACATGTTAATTCGCAATTTTTCAGCAGTAATTATATCTATTTACGGAAAGTATTATCTTTTATGTTTGACCTATAATTTTTAATACACTCTATATTTTGCATAGGTATCTAACTGGAAATTAATGGAAAATGCACAAAAATATCAGAGAGCACATTTTTATTACATATTACACAACAGATATTTTGGTTTGTGTTTTTAATTTTTCTCAAATATTTACTGCCCGTTTATGAAACCCTTTTGATTATGAAAATGGAATTTCGCATGTTTTAATGATCATAAATAGTATATGAAATGATTTTGTCCGATTGCAGCAATATACCATATAAATAAGTTGAGGACATAATTGCATATTCGAACCATACATCTTCATGCAAAAAAAATGAGTAAATAGGAGAAAAAACATTTTGCACTTAATGAATAATAGATGATGCAAATGATTTTTCTTGAAAAATAAGTTACAAATTGAAATTTTGCACAAAAGAAAGCGTTTTCTTAGAAAAATTATTGCTTAGCAAATATTAGCTGCATGACTATTCATATAATGACATTCAAATACATTCATCATCAATGATTTATTTACTAATTGAAACAGATTTATTTATTTTTCGATATTTATTACTATAAAGCAATGAAATAATAATATAGTAATAAACCGCTATATCAGACTACATAACTTAGTTTATTTTCATCTGGTTATTTTAAAATAAATAATCAAATTTATGCACATTATAATCACATGTTTCATTAATTTGATTGTGTCTGAGGTATTTGATTACTTAATGATAATGTGCCAATTTTTCTTTCACTACACTTGTTTAGTTTGTTGTTATTTGGTCATTTTACGACAAAATTAAATTTTATAAATCACAATATCTTAACATGTATTCAATTTTATTATATTTTCAAATTTTGAGATGATGTGTCATTTTTTTAGTCTTTAGAATGACACCACAAATATTTAGTTCGACAACATTTCTTCGATTTTTCTGTAACGATTAAACACAAATTATTAGAGAATTTAACACCGTCATTCAAAAACGATTTCAATAGTTTTCAAATGCAATTAAATAAAAACTTCTGTTTTACTTAAATCAATTTTTAATTAAAAAATAAATTTAATAAAAAACTTCATTGAAAACAATTAGAAATGAAGCATTGATTTCAACTTTATATAACAAATAAACATCATTTATAGGTATTTGAAACTAAAAATGTAAAAAAATAAGAATAGAAAAACTAAAAATCGAGTGTTAATGCTTTCAGTTTAAAAATGAAATTGTAAATAAACATTTTATTTGTATTTACTATGCATTTCAAAACAAATATTTTTTCAGAACTTTTTTTGAAATAAAAGCATGCATTTATCCCCTATTGGACTTTTAAAAATAAAATCATTCAAATTAAAAATAAATTTTAATAAAAATATATAAATAATTGTTGAATTTCTATTTATATAAACAATTTTCCAAAACTCTCTTCAAATTAAGAAGTGCTGGTTACTAACAAATACTGAAATTCACTGTTCAAAAATTTCAAATTTAGACAAAAATCATTAAAAAATTTCAAAAAAATCAGTTTATTTTTTGTATTAAACTCACAAACATTGTGTAACGTTTTCTTAATAAAACAATTCTTATTTATACGGACTTAATTTTGATTGTTTGCTCCGCAAAATATTTAAATTAAAATATAAAAAAAAGAGGTTCTATTTCATTTTTCTGAACATTCTTTTGAAAGGAAAAAAAGCTTTTAAAACATTTAAAATAAATCAAAATAAATGTAAAATAAGATAAAAGAAGTGCATAGAAAGAAAATGAAGAATGTCAATGAGATTATGTTTGTATTAATTCAAGACATTTTAGAAAATATCTAAAAGAAAATTCGCTTACAAATGCTTACCTTACGTTTCATTATAAGAAATGAAATTATTCATATTATAAAACAAGATGATGCCAACATATAATGCAAGCAAGAGAACAACGTGAAGCATATTTTTAGACAAAAAATAATACGAAGCAAATAATAAATGGATACCACGTAGTTTGTTTAAAGAAAAGTTAAATAATTTCCTCATTTTTTTTCTGGCTTAAAATCTTTTATATTAAAGAAGAACTAACAATAGCACTTGAGATTTCGAAAGAAAGAAAATTTGACCGATTGCAAACGATTTTTCTTCGGAGTGCTGATGTCGGTAGCAATTGATTTTGCAACAATGCGGAAAATTTAGAATCATGTGACGATTTCTTAAACAATTCGATACGTAGTAGGTGACGAAATAGGAAAATACACAGCATGTATGTACACAAAAATCCAAACAGCAGGAGATTACAATGGACGGTGTTTGATAATTCTTTTAAAATATTTCCTTGCAAAATTAAAGCTGTAGAATATTTTTATGCTAAACTATAAATGTGACGAATTTGACACTTTTACAGGAAACGCAGTATTTGTATTTCAATATATCTGTTTTAAAAAACAGTTTTTCTAAATGCGCTTCTTATTAATTAACGCTCATTAACAAGAGTCAGTAATTTTATGAAAACAGTTTCGTAAAGTTTCGTGTGTATATACCTCCGTTGTACACGAAAAC